ACCAAATAAAAAACGGAATAATAATTCAAAAATAAGGAAAATCAAATGCAGAATAAAGAAAAGAGCGTAAATTTAAAGCGGTTAACTATACGAAAAAAGGAACGTAATTTGATAGAATCAAAGCAACAAACGAAGAGCAGAGCCAACAATTAAACGAGGCCGGATCTGAGCAAATAAAAAAAACAAAAAATTCCAGAAAATAAAACAATTTAAAGATAAAAATAAATCTAACAAGAAATATATACCTTCGTATAATGGGGAGGAATCTAGGGTTTTAGCGAAGCCAAAACCCAAAAAAAAAAAATTGCTTTGAATCAAAAGAGAAAAAAAAAAAAACGAGAGAAAGTTTCTTCGTTGTTAGTTGGATTTTGAAGAGAGAGGAGAGAAAGCTTGTATGAGTTGCCAACGCTTTGAGGCTAAAAAGTTCAGAAGAGACTCACGCGCAACCCAAAGAGCGTTAGATTTGTTGGTTTCTGGTTGTGCAGGAAAAGTACGTGAAGCACGGTTTCATTTTCTGATTGATGCGTGATATAACAGCAGCTGTGGTAGCGCGTGATTGATTGTTTTATCCGTAGGCTATATTTATTTATTATTATTTTATGAATTTAGGGTTTGCTGGCAAAGAAAGATGATCAAATCAAAATCGTCGAAAGTTTAGCACCGTTGGATCAGGGCCTTTCTACTGGCTCTTTTCTTTTTTATTTCTTTTATTTTTTTTAAAGAGTCCTTTTCTCTTATTGGGGAATCTAATTTCGTTTTTAAACAGTTGACTAAAGACTAATGGATTAATTAATAATTTATAAAAAAAATTAGACATGTGATGTTGTCACGATATTAATAATTTATATATTTATATTATATTTATAAAAAAATTACATAAAATAATTTATGTTGATATGAAAAATATAAAATATTTTTTATTTTTATTAAATTTATATATAATTTATTATTCAAATTTTAAATCTTATTATTTTTATTATATCAATATATTATATTTTAAATTATTAAGTCTAAAAAACACAAAGAATTAATTGGAGAATTTTATTTTATTAAATTTGATCTGTTAATAAATAATTATACCTACGAAGTTAGTTAAAATATTATTAAAAAAACTTTTTTATTACTATCAAAACAAACAAAATTTATATTTAATATATTATTTTATCAAATTTAATAAAAAAAATACATTAATTGTAAATTTATTTTTTAAAACATTATTCAGTCGGTATCATTATGTACTAATTAATATTTTTTTATAAAATTTATGAAATATTTTATTTATAAAACCTAAATTCAATTTCATCTTAAGCTGAATAATTTATAAAATTTCATTAAGGCCTCGAGCATGCCTTTGTTTGGGGATGAAACGGTATCTCCTTACCTAAACTTTTATGTACCAAAAATAATTAATATGAATTCTAAATTAATAAGTAAACTTAATAAAATAAATAAAATATGATATGAATATAATACAAAAAATAATATAATTTAAAATTTTAATAATAATATATAAATTTAATAAAATATATTTTTTATATTCGCATTATTTTTATATAAAATATAACGTAAATATGTAAATTTTTATTTTTTATTCTATATAAATTATAGAAAATTCCCACAGGTGGCGGTAGAATCTTCGAAGGAATTGGGAGAATCAGTCAAAGAAATTTGGCGTGTCGGAAATGTGAGACGCGGGTTTGGTAGTACTTTTCCTATTTTCATGATTCATTCAAACATGTTTTTTTTTTCACCAAAAAAAAAATTGTAATAAAATTACTCTAATTATAAATAAATTGTAATGTTAGAATATCATTATTTTTTAAGTGAATTTTATTATAATTTAATTTTATTGACTTATTATTACAATGTTTCAATTTTTTTTAATTCCTCCATATTAAATCAATTGCGTAACTTGTTTTTTATTTTTTTATTTTTGGGAATGGACAAGAATGGGAAAATTCATGGGAAGGTGAAGAAATTGTTGCCTTTTGTAATGTACTTACGCGTGAAAAATGTTACTATAAATATTTCTTTTGTGGTGATAATGACTTTTTGGTTTTGTTTTTTTTTGGGTTATAATTGGTGACGAAAAAGTCTTGGTTTTTAATTTCCAATAGTTAGCTAATTGAGCAAGTTCTTTGAATCCAAGTGCTTGGAAAATTAGGTTAACTCGCAAAGTATGAGTCAAAGAATCTGTTACTTTTAGGTTTTTGAATAACATTGACAGTTTGTCGTTGGTTTTATATTAAGGGAAAAGTCTTTTTTTTTTTTTCACAAGAGAGAAAATTTTAATTGATAAAAGCCATCCTAGAGAAAAATATCACATGCAATCAAAAGCAAAGTCCAAGTAGTTAAAAAACTCGGTTCCCTTAATAAGGTATTGATTTTAAATTGTATGAATGAAAAAAGACAAACATTAAAAGAACTTGCTCTCTTATAGGATTTAATCTGATCGATTATAGATTAATCAAAGTTTAAAGTGGTTATTGTATATCGAATATCCCAAACCAAAAAATATATTAAAAGAGTTTCTAAATTTATCATTTTATTTAAATAATTTTTATATTTATATTATACTCAAATAAGCTTTTATTTTTTATTTAATGGTTTTTTAAATTATCTTAATCATTATTTTTCATCATTCACATAATACATATGTAAAAGATATTGTAATTTGAAGAGAGTAGAAGAAATTATATATGCTAAATTTTAAATATCGAATATGTAAAATATTATTTATTAAAAATAATTATATAAATTAATTAAATTATGAATTTATTAAATAGTATAATACAACAACACATTTGTATATATTTGCTTATTGGAGCTCTAATTTTCCTATCTCTTTTTATTTTGATGCATTAATAAAATGTAATTGGAGTTATTCGACTTAGGGGCTATACCTTTTTCTAGCTAGGCAGCTGAACAAGAAACCCTACTTTTTTTACGCAAACTTTCTTTTTTTATTTTATTTTAATGGCTTGGCTTTGGAACGTTAATGGAAAAAATGATGCAAAGTGTAATAGTCATAGATGGAGATTTGTGAGCTGTGGGTGGGTAAAAGTACTTGTCGCTGTTGGTTGCCATTGGCAAATTAGATAATGCAGCTATCAGTCGGCATTAATGGACTAAATATCTTATAATTTATATATATCATAATATCTAAAAGACTTTGGTACGGAACATAACTACTATTAAACGAAAAAAAAATCGATTCAATATGCGATTTTCACTTGTAATCTTTTTTTTTTTAATTATTTTTATGTTATAATAATTATTTTAATTACAAAATTGAAAATATAAAACCCTACCCTGTAAATGCATGAAGATGCTGCGGATAATGCACATATGTCCTTGAAAAGTAGAAGTCCAATAGCTTATTAAATGTTTGTTATAATTAATACATCTTAATTCAAAGAAGGCTACTCCTTAACCTAACTTTCTAACCGATCGACCAACCAGAAAAGCCAGTTAAAAACAATTTGTAACAACATGCATGTGACTATATGAATCCCAATGCATCATTATAAATACGACTTCTCTATCAGAATTTTATAATTTCCTGTCGTTTCACTCTATGTAGTCTTTGAAAAGTAATTATTTTTGTCTCCCAACTTTTGGATTAAGATCCATTCAGCAATTATTACATAACTTCAAAATATATAAATTTTTTTTATTTTTTGTTTTACAAAAAAAAGAAAAGTAAAGTAAAAATAACAAAATAACAAAAAAAAAAACATTTATCAAACTGAATAAAAAAAGTTATAATTTCAGCAAACATGTCACTAGAAAGTTAAGAAAAACCTAAAAAAAAATTTATTTTGTAATGCTTACGTGTGACAGCATATATATACTTTAGGGTTCAACAAATTCTTTATTGTAATCACATCACCTTTTTTTTTTTCTTTTGGCAGGTGAAAATTGTCCCACAAAACCCTAAACAACGGAAGGACTGGGGGCGGGCAGCTAAGCAGTTGTACCATAGACAATCGAGAAGATGATTTTGTCATATTTCCGATGAGAGATTCGGTGATAGCTGAAGTATCAACGACCAAATCATAGCCAGCAGCACAGAGTTGTTGAGTCCTACAATGTCCAACACTCAAAAAAAGCCAATGGCAAAGGGCAACAATCTCAGCTGCTGCATGCCGTATCTTCTCGATGGACATAAAGTTATAGATTTCGACCCAAACTTGTTGCTGCTGCAGCCGGCAGTCTTGTATCAATTATTAAAAAAAAAGCTTGCTGCATGAAAATTGAATATTATACGATTTCTTGCTAAAATACATGGGAAAACGAGTCACCCCATTATGAAAGTCATTAACCACTTACAAAAGGCAAGTAACTCATATGATATGACAAAATCAAGCGAATGACAACCTCGAGTACTAAACTAAACAGATGGGCGACAGGATTTGTTCTGGAATGTCGAATCCCCTTGGAGTGGGAGGTTTGGATTCCATATTCTCAGACAGGATTTCATTGTTTTTCTGAATGGGATGTGGAAACTCGCTTGAGTAATAGTTTAATGTTATATTCGAGTTTCTAAACGTAATTTTTAAACGTAAAATAAATATTAAAAATACTATGATTTGTATTACAAGTATTTTTTATGATAAAATATGAACCTTATGAAGACTAAGACTAGTAGTGTATTTTATGATATATTTTTAATGAATTTTAACATCCCCTGAGAGAACCATCCTATTTCCTATCTATAAATTATAAGCATTCTTTTGCTCTTGAAGCCTGTTAGGACATGAAAATGCAACAAAATTGAAATTGTTGGTTTTGCTGACAGAAACTTCATGGTCCAACCAGCTTGTTGACAAAAAAGGTAATATTTCTCGCAGTATCAGTTTCACACGACCATATCCATGTTTATGCGCATTGATACCATGTGCAAGGGGGATAAGTAACTTTACTCCCAAGATAAAAGGAACAGGCTTGGAGAAGGGAAAATTTTCGCATGCTTAGTTAGAAAAAAAAAAAAATCAATGAGAACTTAATGATGGGTATCTGATAACACGATAATATTAGTAAAAAAATCTGTGATACATATTCACAAATACATACGGGAAGATAACATTAATTGTATCCTTAAGTCTAGATGAGACTAACGTCTTACAATTACAGAGGTCAGACAATAATTTAACCAAGCAGCAAACTGGGGTGCCCTGTAAAGAAAATGAAAACTAGCATTTTAGTGTATTGCATTATAAAACAGACAAGAAATTAGAAGTTGTAAACTTGCACTTCACACCAAATGCCAAGATAAATAATTATCACACTATCAGCCTCAATCTATCATTCCAGTAAAAAAAAAAATTTTCCACCCAATGATATCTTTTGCATATTGATGCACGACAATTGGAAGGATGGTTTCTTCTCATGGCTCAAAGATTTATTTTTTTAGTGTGCATGTCATGATAAAATCTTACAGAGATGTGCAGACACATTTATCCTGCTTGTTAACAATAAACTAAGTCAGTCATTAAAAACAAAGCTCAAATCAAGCAGGAAACCCAAACAAAGTCGATCAGTAATAAGATATCTGCTGAAAGCATGACATATGAAATTTGAACCTGCCTAAATAGGACATCACAAGTAGCTCATTTAGTGAACGTATATAACCCAATTTATGTTAGTAGGCTAATAGTCCTGTCTTGATTACCATCTAGAGAAGAGGACTAGAGCAGATAAAGTAGTAAAATTATCCTCTCCATATCCCTTCATAACAGATCAAACTTCAGCATCAATTTCAAACTTCATCTCTTCTTCAAAGTCTCAAAGTAGGACCAAGTGTCAAAGTCAATTAAAATTGGATATTAATGATCATGGAAATTCAACAAAAATTCACTTCCATTTCAATAAAAGGACCCTTTGGGGATTTCTTTTATATATGGTATAGATAATAAACCTAGACTTCAAATAAGCTAATTCAACAACATATACATATACATTCACATTCACATCTTACAAACTAATAGCCCAAGTAAGTTAAATTCAAAATTACCCAGGTAGGCTACTTAAAATCTTCAACAATGTAGGCAAGGTATATCAAGCTTTTCGGATTAATTAGTTATGCATATTAAAATTGTCAGATTAAAATAATAATAATATTAATAACAAGACCTAATCAGAAAGTGGCATTGCAATGAGACAAGAACAACATAATCCAGGTATACAAGAAAAATTGAATAATTATCACAGCACCAAAAAGCACACAAAACTTGATGCCTAATTATTACTATATTATACAAATGGACAGTAGCTTAGATTAAAGAAAGACTTCAACAAACTAAAAGGTTAAATGTATGCTGACACTAACATAGACCCAAATCAAAGACCATTTAAATATATACATATATATATATAGACACTTATCCTACTACCAAAATTAGAAATGAAAGAGCCTATTTTTTTAATACCCATTTAGCTTATAAGTTCATATATACAGCCCCATCCTCCTAAATGAACAAATGTGACATCTCATTAGAACAAAATCAAAACTTTGTGTTCAACCTCAATCAAGCCTCAAATTTGACAATGGAAACCGATGATTCAAGGTCAATGATGACTAATTCACTGAAATTGGCAGAGAATTTCAAACCCGTTCTAAAAGTTCACAAACTTTAATCCATACCAACCAAAAAAGAAGAAAAGCAACCCAATTAGCGTCCAAATCTTCACTTTGAAGCTTTTCCAACAGAACAATAAAAATAAACCGAGAGAAACGAAACTTTGTAATTTTTATAAGCTCTAAAGGTCTAACCTTTATTTGGTTTTTCATTGTTTTAAGCTTTTAAGAAGACGAATGCTGGCCTTCACAGAAAGGGCTTTCGTCGAAATTCTTGGCCGGATATTTAGCCGTAACCATCCCGACTTCAAAGACCAAATTATCCTCACTGGATCGGATCCCCGTTATGGACCACCACTTGAAAAATGCTCGGACCCGGATCCCATCCAGCTCAGCTATCTTTCCCTGGTCAATTTTCCCCGTTATCCGCTTCGAGTACGTGGCTAGGTAGTTGTCAGGCGGGAGCGTGATCTTACACGTACCACCGAGATCGACGGCGAATTCACTGGATGTTTGGTTAAGAGTGTAATTTCGGACCGAGGCTGGAAGGAGACCGATTGGGAAACCGTAATTTATAAGCTCGGTGTGGGCCTGGGTGAGTGGCGGTTTCGGGTTCGGGTTTTTAGGGGTTGGGGTTTGGGAAGAGAATGGTAGAACAATGAAAAGGAGAAGCGAGAAGAAAAAGACAGATTTCTTCATTATCTTTTTCAGGGGGTTTGTTCAGGGAAGAAGAAAGTGGGGAAGACCGCAGGTAAGAGTTGGGGAATGGGCCTCATGGATGTCGTGTTGACGAGGTAAAGTTTTGAATAAAACGGTACCGTACTATGTAAATAACGCGACGGGTGTTTTCGCCACTGGTTTTCTGCCGCCAACCGTTAAATTTAGACGAATGGGCCTTGGACTTTCCTACTAGGAGAGATAATGTAGTCTAATTTCATGCTTGAAGCCCATGACTCACTAGTGAGAAATTTAAATCTATAATTAAATTTTATTTTCAATATTGTTTTTTTAATTGTGTTATTTGAATTGGAGAGTAAATATTAGATGTAGATACGTATTTGATACGATTATATGTGTTTTTATTTTTTTTTATATATTTAGAGGTTTAAACCTTTATATCATATATGTTGAATATGTATTGGATATAAATATTTCAAAAAAAAAAAAAAGGTCTAGAACAACATAATTTTTTACTCCATTTCTCTTGTTTTCTTTGGTTAAAAAACTTTCAATTTTGGATTATTAAAAATAAAATTCAAATGGGAGGTTTCATTGACAACAAAAGTACAACATTACCAGAAGAAATATAGGAATTTGATTTAAAGAAAATAATGTGGTTGAACTCGGAGCCACTGGAAACTCAACCTGACACATACCATATATCCTCTTAATTAGCTTTGAACTCTGTCAGATAATCCCCACCACCAGACACCGCCACTCAGCAGAAGCTGCCAGGAGGCCCTCCAATTTCATTATTGTGTGACGGCCAGGTTAGTCCTTGGCCTTCCCGAGGTTCCCAGGCAGCCAGCTCTCTATTTGTAGCCATAATATTTGGTTGTAAAAATTGAAAACTTTTATTATTATTATTATTTTTGGTTCTGTGTTCCATGCAATGAATTATTGCAATCTTGAGTTAGATTTTGTTTGTTTCCTACAGAGGGCATAGAGTTTCTTCTTTCTCTCTGGAACCTCCATGTTGAGGCACAAAGTACAAACTGAACCTTCCTGCTTTGGCATTTACATTATGTTCACCTTTAGGCTGTAAAGAAGACTCCTTTTCTTTTATAGTACGTGGTTGAGGGAAGCTGAATAACAAAACCTGTTAGTTCTATAGTGGGAATGGCTGGCTCAGATACTGTGAATATTCATAACGAAACATGCACAAAATTTGTTTGCGTTATGAATCCAAAATTTAATTTAATTACTTTATATAATTATTTTAAAAATTAATATTTAAGATTTAAATAGTAATATTTACAAGTTACAATCACTCTTATCTTCAGTCCTTGACCTATTTTGTATAAAAAAAATATTTGTATTATGTATATGTAATGTAAGTATACAATTTTAAACAATTAAAGTTAAAATAACCTTTCAAAAATCAAGATGGCAGCACTTAATTTGGTAATTTGAATCTGGGACTTGTGAAGGAAACATCTGAGATGCGAGAGTATTTCCTGTAAACTTTTGATTTCATTTTTCTTTCCATATCTAGATTGAAGTTTTGCTTTTATTCTAAGCCATATCTTTTGCATACAACAATAATCCAAGCTAGATAGAATCGGCCCCGAATGGGTGCTGGTCGGTTTTTGTACTAATCAAACTCTTAAATCACACATGTCATGTCCTGCTAAGATCAGGACAAAATCACTTTGCGAATAGTAGTAATTTTTTAGGTATCCGTCACCCATGTTTGATGCAAAATACCCATTTTATTTATATCTATGCCAGAAAAGAAAAGAAAGTCACAGTACACAAAATAACTACTGCTATAAAAATATTGTAATAATTACAACATCGTTTTGCTGCTAGCAATTCGATATACGGTACCATAATAAATCCTTATAATAGTAGAGAAGTAGATTTTTTTTTTTTTGGTTCTGATCTCCATTTTATATGGTCTTCAGTCTTTTAGGATGTACAAGCTGGTAGCATAGGAAAGCAAAATGATGTTCAAATTGTTCATCCATCAACAAGAAGTCCAAAGCTCTGCGTTTTTAACCTTTGAGACACTCTCCAGCACTTCAAAAGGGATTATATCACCAATAACAACCACCCTCTTGCTTTCCAGGTCTACTTCATATGAGGTCACTCCTGTTTTTCATGGGACATCTAGGAATTACATTACAGTAATAAAAACAAAGACCTAAGCAAAAGGGATCAAGTTTATCTAGCTCCTATACAAATCAAAAACAAAAATCAATTGCAGCACAAGCGATACAATAACATGGCATATAATATTAAGCTCTGCATGGATGAGTGATGACCATTATGCATTTTGGCCAATATGTTGCTTTACTTTTGAGTCTGTTAGGTCAGTGACATCAGAAATTGTTAAACAACTAATAAAACACAATATAAAAAGGTATAGTGGTTGAACAGCTATAACGCTTTTGAATAATTTCTGTGTTTGGTGTTACCGTGTTAGGTTTACTGAAGATCACTTAATTAATTGAAAAATGGAAGTACCGAAAATGTTGATATCAAATTTCTGATGAACTATATTGCAGGATTTTGTTTGAGCTAGAAAAATGAATCTTTTTAAGGAAAACAGGGCCGGGGGGGGGGGGAATCAAAAGAGAAAAGAAAGACATCTTGCTTACCATCCAGCTTGGAAATATGTTTCTCTACTTTTCTTGCACAGCCATGGCAATGCATGGATACCCTTAGTACCACCATCTACAAAGGTCAAATAAAGTTCCTCAAATTCCCCCAATATTGAAAATCCTCTAGCGTTTCAAGTTTTCATTTACTATGTCTATATGTTCTTAACTCTTAAACGAACGAAGAAAACATTATAGATATAAAAGAACATATTACCTTTGGCTTAAGTTGAAAGGCCAAGGTCTGGTTGCCAGCAACGACGTCTTTCAATCTCAGCAACTGGGTTTTGTCAGATGTTATCAATGGCTTTTTCTCAAACTCATCCTCCAACGTGTTCATGCAGAAACAAGAGCAAGAGCCTGAAGACAGATATAAACAATCTAGCATCTTGCCAAAACTGAGTTTTCCCATTGCTCCCAGATCTTCTAACACACAAAAATAAAATATAATCTCTCTGACCCTCACTCGCTAGGAAACTGAAACATGCCTACGTTCCCAAATGTCGATCTTATAGGAAAAAAATCAATCAAAGCAAACTACATCCCCACATTATTATAATATATATGTAGGGAGACAGAAGGACGCTAAAAGTCAAATTTTCTTGGGAAAAACAAAAGCTAGACAGAACCTAATGAAGCTATTGAAGAAGAGAACCTTCAAGGCTGCCAAATTTTGTTTAGAGGTACCACTCGTCAACAAAGTTTTCAAAGAGGAACTAGGCAAATGCAACTCAAAACAAAAAGTTCTTATCTTTAATCACCGCAAGCAGCAGCATTTGTCACGTGGTGAGCTACTAACAAAGACAGCAAGCATCCATTTGAAAAAAGTATACACCATATAGAGACAGAGAGGGACGGAGAGGGAGGGATAAAGGAATTTTCACGTGAGAATTGCAGTTAGTTTGAAGGTGAGTTGTTTCACTGTTTCGTGTGAACTATTCCTTTTTGTTCATAAAAGACACTTTAAAAACACACCGAATGTGAAGAAGGCTACAATTTCATATGACTTAAAAGGGGTAGGAAAAGCACTAAAATAGGGGTTATAGTGATCAGTTAAAGAAATTGCTAAGGACAATCTCTATTGGCATGGCATGCGATGATAGCTAAGAAATAACAAGTAGAAATATTTATATCCAAAGACTGGATAAGCATCTTTAGTAGAGTATGTAAGTACATTGGGTAGATGATCATGGCTCATGACCTTGAGCATGCATTTTTAAGAGATCAAAACAATTTTAATAATCAACTATAGAAGAATATTCTGTGTACCTAATAAAGTTTTTTGTTTGTTTGTTTTAATTTCTAATTACATCACTGCCTTGTTAACCCTCATTTTTTTTTATCGATTAAAGATATATTAGCAGATTAGCATGATTAATTAGTAACCATGAAGATTGATTTGATTAAACAAGTTTAATTTCCCTAACTGTTCAGGTTCAAAGGCACACAGATATTAGTAAACTTTCTTTCCGAGGTGGCCTTAGTCTCTCAGAGGCGGATGTGATGGGATGGATGTAATAATTCGAAAACAGTGAGTGAGCGTTGAAGTCGTTGGCAACCTTGTCTTGATCCTCATTCTTTCAATATTAACATAGAGTAGAAGCGGACAGGCGGCATTCAATTATTGGTGTCCCTTGAGCACAGACGATATTGGAAATTATTGGATGGTTGAATATATTGTGTATTATTCTTTATATTTTACAAGATTAATGGGACTATTCTCTAACAAGTCGGTCCATGTGATGACGGTTCCTTCGAGTGGGAGGAAAGGGACGAATTTTTAGAAAAGGAAAAAGAGTAGTGAAGTCATGTTAGGCACGTGTTAGTTACATGACCTTTGGGGATGCAACAAACCCAAGCAGCAATTGGCAATTTTTCATGCGAGGCATTCAACAAATGTGGGTGACATTTGACAGAAAAGAAGAAAATTGGAAGCCAATTGTCCTGTTTTGTTGGCTAAAAGCCCATGCTAAAGAGCAAGCACCGCCTCTTGTGTCTATTTTACAAACATTCCTATTTTGAATCACCAAATATATAATAACATCAGTGCGCCACATAATGCTGCAAAGGGCACTGTGGTAGAGAAGCGTTAACACTAGGCAGCAGTAAACACTTACAAAAGACTATCGGGCCGGCAACATTTATCTTTAGAATTCTTTGCCCCCCCTGTGGAATCCAGTACAGCACCAGCAATTTCTTTCAAGGCTTATCATTTCTGAAATAGGCTTATTGCGAGGCGCAAAAGGGGAATTTGAGAGGTTGAAAACTTGAAATTGTTTGTGGTTCAAATTAATCTTTTCAAGAGAGGGATCCTATTTCCTAAACCCAAATTAACAGACTACATTTGCTTCTAAAAAAAAGATTAATAGGAAAAAAGCAATATATATAGTAACCAATAAGGTGAAAGGGCATTCATTTTTATGTGGGACGAAGGGGACATGATATTAGGTTGTGGTAGCAATGGCTCGTCCGCCGTCCCTTTGTGCAGTGGTCCAACTCCACAGTTCACTGCCTTAAAAAATAATAATAATAATAATAATATGGTATCTGCAGAACCGTGGAAATAATAAGCAAAGGAAAGGCTACCTAATTCCATTTGATTATGTGCGCTGCCCATCAGGAGCCTTGCACTCGTAATAAATTTCTGGACGGTCATGTATGTTTAACTGCTCATCCTGAACATGACAAGTTTAAACCATTAAACTATTTTCAGATTCTTTTCTTTTCTAAATCTTCGACTGACACCCCCTCCACCCCACGAAAGGAAACGTTATCCACCTTAAAAGTTTAGAGTAGGAATATGGATTATGGACCCATTCTAAACAACTAAACATCTAAGCATGTGCACACATGTGTGCGCATATCACCTAAACATCAATAAAAGATGTTTAGAATGTGTACATTCTAAAACTTCTTTCATCAATTAAATATTTTATATGACGTGTGTTATTGCTAAAAACTTCACATTTTGTTATATCTGCATTCATACTTGTATAAAACTGTATATAATGTATGTAAGCCCTAAATAAAAAAATGTATATGAGCTTTAGTAATAACAATTATAACAACTACTCCTATTGATTGTTTGCTCAAGAAAAGACATCTATTGATAGAAAACTGCCTCAAGGCTCAAGGCAAGAAAAAAAGGAGCCAAGACTCAAGGCAGACTGAGCCAGGCTTAGTTAGCAAAGAACTCATTTTTCCAACAAAATCAACTGAATATCAAGAAAACAGAGGAAAATATATTTGTAGATCTCAAATCTGAAAATTTGAAGATTCGTATAGTATATGAGTTGAACAATGAAGGATACATTGACATCGAACTACCTCTTGTAGAATCCTTGTTCAGTCATAGTTGAGCTCACTCAATTAAAAAAAAAATTAGCAAGCTGTTTTGTCTACAGCTGCATTAACAAAATAAAAGACACTTAAGAGAATGCACACAATGACTCAGATGATAACATTTAAAGTTGCATTTCTCGTGCATTTCTAGAATTATAATGAACTCAGCAAAGAAACTAATTTGAAATGTACATTAGTGAATACCAAGCAAGCTAACTATGGCCAAGCAGGCATCCATGTTCAGAAACATTTTATCATCAGTATACAAAGGTAGAAAGTGTAATGGATGCCAGTTAAGTACAACAGAAATACTTGTTTCTTACTTTTTTGAACACTAGAGGTAGAGGAAGCCGCAAGGACTTGACCATTCTCCCAAATGTTTGCCATGTCACTTGGAGGGTGCGGATGTTTAAAGGCCTACAAGATATAACATCACACGCTCATGCAAAAAGATGGACGACCAAAATTAGAGGTGCAAAAAGCATTGTGAAATTTGTATTATTCTAAATTATCTTCTAATAACAAAAAGATGATAAAGATACTAAGAAACTAGACATCAATAGTTTCCATCCCAATAACCTTAACCTATGAGTCTAACCAACTCAAGCAACCAAGATATGCAGAATATTGGTAAAAAAACCAGCAGCCATCAAGAAAACAATGGAATAAAAAGCTCATATAGCCAAAAGGAAAAAATAATTGCATGTATACAGCTTGGAATGTAAACTACTGAAGAGAGTAAATCTAGTTAACATCGGGTATAAGGAATGAAATCTAAAAAAAGTAAAAATATAAATTGCTGAAGAAAGTAAATCTAGTTAAAATCGGGCATAAGTAATGCAATCTAAAAAAAGTAAAGTGTTAGGATGTCATAGACTTGCATATAAGCAGTGAAAGATGACAAATTGAAGAAGCATCGATCTCTGGGCTGCTCGATTACATGCGTCAAATTGTATGCACTTCACTCATTCATGTTCATCCTTGAAAAACTGCAGAAAATATAGCCACAAGAAACAGGCATAGGAGAATCTATCCAGATACACACATAAAGAGAGTAGACTTGCCTTGTAGACTTGAACTGTTGTATTTCACATTCATTGTTCATTTGGTCTGTAGTTTTCTTGGCATAGTCTATAAAAGGACAATAACAAAATACATGCATTATGCACAACCAAAAGAACAGACATCAGAACTAACTGTTTCCAGAGAACGCAGACTGCCACTAAGTCCAGATGTACCAGCTTCATTACGAGGTATGAATGTATGCATTCCATAACTGCATAGATACTCGACAACTGAGGTTTTGCTTCAGTTCTAACTTATATCACTAAAACTTAATAGCCCAATAGGAGAAGGGAGAGATAACCTACAAATAGGAAGGATGGTAGATTTGCAGGCAAATGGGAGATGGGTTGGAAAAGCGTACAGAAAACTAGAGAATGATAAGAATCTAAACGGAAACATAAAGGAAGAAAGCATTGCATTTAGAGTTAGCATATTAATTCTTTGTTAGGTAGGGAGGATGGAAAGTTTTTAATTTAATAGTTGAGATTCATAGCCATGTTTGCTATTTTGTAACTCAATCTTTTGATAAAAACTTTTTCTTTCCTTTCTCATTCTTTTATCCTTTCCATCTTTCCTACCCAACATAGTGTAAAGCATAATATTCGATTAACAAGTTCAAAGATAACATAACATATATGACGATACAATGCAGCAGACCAGCAGTACAAACCAGGCAATCAAAGAAGCTTTAGAATTCCACATGGAATATAGCCTACTTGGAAAGGCCAACATGCAAACATGAATAGATTATTGATAAAACTTAGAAAACAAAGAGGCAAACCCCAATAACACAAGGCCAAAAGTGACCATAAGCACTCTCCTTTTCTTTTCTTGCTTTTTGGTAGGAAGAATTTTACTAATATTTTTCTGTTCAATAGATTATAAAAGATTACTGTTAACCATGACTTTAATGTTTTGCAAAATCTTGATCACAATCAAAGAGATTATTCAAATATGTAACATATTTCAGACAAAGTGGCCAGTGCAGAGAGATCAGAGACACTAAGGAGTAGTTCATTGCTATCAACCTAGCAATATCAACAGTAGGCGTCATAATAAAATCACCATGACAGCTGCAATCAGGAACAAGATAGGGAGGTTGACATGCGGCACCTACAGCTCCAGTAGCAGCTCATAAATTTGGTAACCTACAGAAGTCACACTAATGTCAAGGAGGAGACAGAAAAGCAGGATGAATTATCTTTGAAACGAACTCAACAAAAATAAGTTTCTTTAATCATTACCATCAGAAAAGATATTGGCAAGAATGAAAATCCTGAAATCAACATATTTCAAAGTTTCAACAATTAATTTCTCCATAAGAAGAAACAGAAACAATCCATGAGAGCATAGGCCTCTAAATATTTGACTAGTTAAACTGGAAAGAAACCAAATGTCAAGGCAAAATAAAGGACCAGCGGGATCATCTTGTCATTTCTTCCAGAAAAGCTCAACGAGCTTTTCTAGATCATCTTTCTGGACCCTAATAACACTCCCCATTCATTTTCTCAATTTAAAAGACATGCTGAACTTCAGGAGGAGTGCTGCAGTATCATTTGCTAAAGACTGTTATTTGCACTTTACCTCTATTATATTGTGTTTATGTAAAAGTTGAAATTTGTTACA